CCCCCCCCCCCCCCCCCCAACTGCATTTTCGCCCCTACGGAACACTACTTTGAGAGTATTCGAAGATGCAAAACAGTGTGTTTTTCTGGTTAAAGATTTTGTTAAGTTGTGGAAATGGAGGGCAGGGCAACCAATCGATTCCACGCTCATGATGACCACATCCTCCCACGGTAGGGTAGTACTGGCACAGTTTTGCATAGAACTCACCTGATCATTGAAAACACCCCACACGCTTTTGAACAGATATATGAAAATTTCAAGTAGAGTGACACAACTCATGCCAAGGAACAGGCCCATACTGCCGGCGACGTAACCTAAAATCTCGGATGAGGTTCGTCTTGATCTGTTGGTAGCTAATTGATGTAATCAAGCCCTTCAAGCCGGTAAGAGTTCCGTTACTGCTATAGTCCCAATGCAGTAATTTAACTGTGGAAAACTCACTAAGGAGGTCTACGGCTTTGATTCGTTTCATCTGCTGATCTGTCTGTAGACGCCGCGATCGTACGAAAATCTCAATAGTCGAGTAGCTCCTGAATATAATTCAAATTGATGTAGGATAACATTCACACCGCCATAAGGAATCTTAAATTTCCGCGAGTAAGGCGAATTCGCATATTTTTCGTTTTTTCTCTGCTATGAGCTGTTCAAAGCTTTCTTTTCTGGAATGGATGTACAATTGGGCCCAGCTCTTCAAACTGTACAAGGTTACTTTGTGAACTTAAAAGAAGTTCACTTGGAAAAGCTTTATTTCATGGCACATGCTCAAGTTTGGAAGGTGATTTTGTCCTTGATTGAGAAGGTATCCATGGAATCAGCGAATAGTCCCGGCTTATGGTCAGTAACGTGAAAGGATTTTATCGCGGAGTAGATTACAGATTACCATCCACAGTGTTGTGTAACTGTGAATACCAGTACGCGACATATCCTGGTAATTTTACCACCTCTTACATCCATACTAAACTAAACTGGGCGCTATAAGGTATACTGTTCGACACTCTATCACGAATGCTATTCATTGGACTCAGATTACTCCTCGACGACAACTTTGTTTTATTCCCATTTTCAGGCTTAGTCCTTCGCAAGACATGGAATAGGACATCGCATTGCCAAAAATCTAGTGGAAGCGCTATTTGCGGTGCTGGCATTTTGCCAAGAAGCCAGCTCCTCTCCTTTATCGCCTTTTACCGCGCTTCGATCACGTGAACTGATCAGTGCGCTGCCGCTGGCTTCGAAGATAGGACTGCGAAAAACATGATGGTGAAAATGGAAGTAAAAAATCCGAAAAAAGGAAAAGACCTGGTCCTCTCCAGGATTTTCATTCAGTTCTTTATGTTCAGTGCCTTGAACATCCGAAAAGTAACTGAACTATTATTCTGGAAAAACCTCTGATGTGATGCCTCAAGTACCAGCAGCCAGCAAACCGTTGGGATTATTTCTTGGCCAAGCCAAACAGCTGCAGGGTATACTGTTCGATTCCTTATAAGAAGTGCTATTAAATGATTCATTGTATACACTTCAAGGGAGCTTTGTTTTCTTTACAACTTCAGCTGTGGGCACCAGCTGGTCTGCCAAATCTAGAGGGCAGCAGCATTTCCCGTGATTGGCGCCCAGTACAGAGCGAAAAGAGCCAGCCGCTTGGCAACATGCCAGGTCAGCTGGCCAACCGTGCTTCCTCGATTTCCAGCGCCACTGGACGCCGGTGCAGCGGCCTGCTCGGATACGTGAAACCTCATAAACGGCAGTTGTCAAGGGTAATCGATAGCATACATGGTAAGCATGTAGGTTTGCTAAAGGGATAAAAGCTGCCCAATTCACTAGGATAAGCCACATACCCATACCCATGTATGCATCAAGTTAATTATAAAATAACTGCATAGAGCTGACTGTAGGTTAGGACCGTTGAATGTTAAATTTCTTCCACTTATACTTTTATACTCTTCATTAGCGACTCTCAAACCTTCGACGGCACCGTGTATTTCACGTATCCAAGCCGATTTACAACACAGGTGCAGCGTCCTCAGCACCGGCAATCGAAGAAGCACGATTATCCAGTCGATCTGGCATTTTGCCGGGCGATTCGCTCATCTCCTTCCTTGTCCTGTGCCGAGCGCCAATCGCGCGGATCGCTGCAGCCTCATAAGGATCGAACTATGGGCTGCTAAGATGAAAAGCCGAAGAACACAAAGCTTTCATAGAGGGGTGTCCATGTATCATCTGATGAACTTCTTGTAGTGATTCGAACGGTATACATTTCGTGCAGTTTGGTGCGGAAATAAAGGTGGTGAAATCAGAAGGATGTGCCGCGTGCTAATGTATGGGACCAGACGGCAAATTAAACGCTAACTGTAATCACGTTGTTCACAAAAAACTTTAGAACACTGACTGTGGTCCAGGACTGTCTGTGAATGGATCTACCGTAACAGTCTAGAACGAAATGTCCTTCCAAAGGGGAGCGACGTAGGCTAACACGAGCACGATGCTCTAGAGTTCAGTTTCCTCCGACTTCCTATCATGAAAGGTCTCACTATCAGGCCCTCACCACAAGTTCCAGTCGCTCCAGGTTTCCCTTCGAGTGAGCTTATCGATAGGATTAGTTAGCAAAACAGCTGGGAAACTCGGCGCTACCCTACAAGCTGCGCCATAACAATGATGTCTCGACGAAAAAGGCAAGCTCGTTTGACCCGATCTCGTACTTCCATGATAACTCCTATTTAGTCCCAATAAATCAGTAGCCCTCTAATCCGGGTCCATTATGTGTTCAACCCATCAAGGCCTACATCAACTAGCTTCTACCGTTGATACTCACTTAAAAAGGACCTAACACTTGTATGCTCACAATCAGTGCTCGTTCTTAAACAATCATGACTGCCCGAACCTCAAATGGACCACTGTAATGATCAGTTGCCCTCAAAACATCGCTACAACTTCCTTGAGAACATGAAACAAGTGCTACAAAGCGATATGTAGATCTCCCTGGACGAGAACATGGTTTTCCTTCAGTTTTCACCTTTTTCAGTTGCCGGTTCTCAAACCCTCGACGGCAGTGTACGTCGAGATACCCTCCCATTTGGCGAAATGGCTAACCGCGCTGGCAGCCACTGATGCCTGTAATGGTGAAAGCACGGTTAGCGATGCATTTGGCACTTTGCCAAGCAGTTGGCTCCTCCCCTTCCATGTCCGTCCATACCTTCGGCGATAGACTAGGAAGAAAATAGTGGTAAAATGGAAAGGAAACAAAGTTCTCATTAATGAGTGATCCATGTAAAATTAATAGCATTGCATTTGTTCAGCTGTGTAGTTTTTAGTAAAGAAATAAAAGGTGGTTGACTGGCGAGGATCTTCTGGAGGAATTTCGTGACGACTTGATTACAGGGGAGCATTTCCTCATATGTGTGGCTCACAATACCAATAGGCTACATATGTTTGAGATTTGGTCACTTTTTATTCCCGTACCAAACTACACAGCTACAAAGTGACTCTCCATAAGAAATGCTATTCGACTTATATGAATCATTTTCTACATTCTTTCTATTATCACACATATGCTCTTCACTCCATGACTAACAAGCCCTCGATGACTCAATAATCCGAGGAGGATACGAAATAGCCGACCGCGCTGACGGCGAACGTACAGGCAAGCGTAGAACCACGGTTGGCTAGTTGATCTGGCATTTTGCCAAGCAGTTAGCCACTATTTCTTGTCCTGAACGGTGCGCCAATCAAATCAATTGCAGCGGGTGCCGCGAGGGCCTGGAAGGTAGACAGCGAAGAACATACAAGTAAAAGCGGAAGTGAAACAAAGACTCTGACCCTAAGGCGTATTTTCAAGTTCGATAGGATATTCTATCTCATTTAGAAGAGCTAAAGAATAAACAAAGTGGCCTGAGCTTCAGTTACTGCTTTGAAGGAATTTCGTGGTCGACTTGATCACATGGGAGTGTTTCTTCTTCAGCGTGGCTCTGAATACCAGTGGGCTGCATACACTTGAGTTTTTATTACCATTTTCTTCCATACCGAACCAAATTACACATCTACAAGGTATAGTACTGCTCGAGTCTCCATTTAGAATGCTATTCGATGATGCATTTATTTATTTTATACATGAGCCACCTCTCGAGAAAAACTTTATATATCTTTCCGTTTTCATCCGTATACACTTCACTGCATCCTTCTGAGCCCTCGATGAGCGGGCCCGCGAACAGCACCGGCAGTCGTGGAAGCACGGTTAGCCAAGTGATTTGGCACTTTGCCAAGCAGTTCGCCCCTCCCTTTCTTGCGCTGAACGGTGCGCCGATTGCTTCGATTGCAGTGGGTGTCGACGAGGACTTGAGTATTAAACAGCGAAGAGAATACAAGTAAAAATGGAAGGAAAACAAAGTTGTTCTCGCGGATAATCTATAATGATTCGACCGTGTTTGATTTGAGGAACTGAACAACGTATATTGCAGGTATCTTTGAGTTTAGCAAGGAAGTAAAATGGGTAAGTTCAAAAGTTCTGCCGCGTCCTGATATCGAAGGCCACCTAACAGAGGAAACGCTGATTTTAATCAAGTTTTATACGAATTTCCCACAGAGCACTTCGGGATCGTCCATAGGTTTCATGACCTTCTCAGGCTACGTACGATGAAATATCCCAGAAAACAAGAGAGTACAGCATAGAGTCAAGCTTTTTTAGGATGAAGCTTCAAATCCCGAAGCTCCACCTTGTTGAGCTTGAAGAGCTGACTGCATTACTATAATCAGGTCTTGGAAGTGCTAACTTTCAACCAGCTCGTGCCAAAAAAAACGAGGAAATTCGCGTTTCTAGCGTGGATTCGATCCTCCTCCACGCCGAAAAGGGCCGAGTGAGCCCATCATTGAAGCCGTATGGCACATATGGGGGAAGCCTACGACAGGCGGTCGCGAATAGCCAGTCATAGCTCTACTTGATTCAGTACAAGGTAGTAACTCACTGCCGATTCTTCTTGCGGTAGCTGACCATGGCATTCGAATAATCGAGTCGCTCGCATTCTACTGGGCAGACACAGTTCTTCCATGGTCTTTTTGAATCGGAAATCATAAAGGAAGAAAGTATTTCCTCGGTGACTACTTTTTACACTTGATGTTAAACTTACCTTGACGGCCACATATGCCCATTTCCACGAGACTACATGTCCTCACGTACGAACTCTCCGCGAAGAATGGCGCACATCCACACCTGAGCATTACTTCGTAGTATTACTGAATGAGTTTCAGAGAAGCATAAAGCAATCAGTGATTAGAACAGAAACTGTCACCTTCTTATGAATTGTTCAACTATGCAATCCCTTTCACAATCTGCTCTGTCATAGGAAGAAACAATGGATCCACCACCTCTAGTACAGTCGCCCCAGTTACCAGTGTCGAGGAGCGTTTTCTAAAAATTCAAAAGGTTCAGAACTCCTAAATTATTCATCTGGACTTGGTTCAACCTTGCGAGGCAGTTAAGCCTTAACCTTTCTTGGCTGAAATGATAGTCTAGCCGTTTTCCCCCGTGGTAGGGGCCATCCGTTCGACTTGGGCGAAATCGCTCTGCCATTCGGATGAACTTGGAAGACAACGAATTCTAAATTAACTCTATGATCATTCAAGGGAACGAGATATTGAGCAAAGCAGCGACAGAGACACTTTAAAAAAATAGAGGAGATCAGGCCAGACACGTTTATTAGCTAGCCATCCAGCTTGAAATCCGGTAAAAATAGTTACACCCTTACCATCAGAACGACTAACCACGTCTATGCTTATAGAGTGTGCGACGGACGTATTCCACAACGAAAAAGTCGTACAATAACCATAATCTGTAAGGGACCATTTCGCCTTTCCACAGTGACTCCTCAGTTGCCGATCAGCGACCCGCACAGATTTTACAAAATCTTCGCATCGGACCCTGCAAAAAAATATAAATAAAAATATTGCCAATTTCTCCCCACATCATTTGTATAGTCAGTGGTAAGCGATTCCAAAACCGCGCCAATAGTAGTGAGATTATTTTCTGCAGACAACTGACAAATCGCAGGCACTTTCCCCATGGTACAGGCATTTTAATACAAGAGCTATCAATGAATCATACTAGCTCTTTGGTATTTTACCTACCTTGATTCCTCAAGAAACTGCCGTACGTTGAACCCTTCTCCCGTGGTGTTCATGAACATATCCTCAAGCCTTTGTAGGTTCACAATGTCGTTGAAATCCAAGGATTCACCAAGGATGGCAGCATCAAATGAAGACAGCAATTCGCTTTTTGACTTGATTACTACATAGTACGATAGAGTACGGTGACAAGTCAGAATCGAGCAAGAAACGCTGTACAACCCTACCTGGGTATTTCCGCCATCGATCGGCTCCGCCCAATTTGCATAGTGTTACTGCAGGCAGATGTTCCTCAGTAAGTAAACTATCAGTGGTTTTGAAAAATGTTGGATGAGACTGATAGAAGAAAAGCATCATCCCGCTCTGTATATTGAATCATAACTTCACTCATAATCAGCCTAAGCTTTCGAGAAAATACTCATTAATAGATAGAAATCAATTGATCTTACGTGGATCATGAAGAGTGTCAGACATGTTACGACCACTAAAGACCAAAATATTCTCGATGGCCAAGTCTCTGACCTGTATATTCTTATCTAAATTAGCTTAGCATCAACGAAGTCCGATTTCAGATCTTTACAAGTGAATGAAATTTAAGGCAAAGTAATAGGCTAACACAACAATCCAATGTTACTAACCAAAAGTATCGGGCAACAGCTATTTTGCACAGGTTAATTGTCGGACCAAGATGAAGTCCAGTCAAGATTCCGAAGTCAAACTTACCATTCCATGGTAGGTAGTTAGTGAGCTAAACTCTTTCGACTCGTCATCGTAGACGTGGAGAATAATCCGCTCCATGAAACTATCGGAGTTCGTGAATGTCCCGTCATCGTCACTTTCTCCATCCTCCATCATCACCTGAGGATCGCTTGTACTATTTCTGCTGGGAGGAACACCTTCAAGTGAAGGTCAGAGTGGCCTCCCTGTTCTGAATTGGTGAATGTGCAACTGGTTCTGTGGTAGATAGATACTCTTTACCCACCATGAAGGTTGAGATTACAGTTATTCAGAGCCGTTGAGCTATCAAAGAAAGCAAAAAAAAGAGAAAGGAAGAACGATAGCAAAGCAGGAAGCCCTGATAAGGGAAATCAATCAATACTTAAAGTCAATCAATTACGAATGAGTGACGGCAACCAGGGCGCTGTGTAGGCCATTGCGAGCACTCTGCTCCAAAGATCCACTTCTTCCGACTCTTATCTTGGAAAGGCATTATCAGTGTTTGACGACAAGTTTCAGTTGGTTTCCGATTCCTTTCGCATGAGCCTATCAATTGGATTAACTAGCAGATCAGCTGTGAAACTCTCATTACCCTACTAACTGCACCATAATAGAGATGTCTCGTAAGAATGTATTGGGCAGGCTCCCTTATACCGGTTTTTGCATTTTCATAATATTGAAAAGTTATTCCCAATGATTCAGTTTCAGTAACAGGAACCTGAGTCCAGTATGTGTTCAACCCATCAAGCCTTCAGCGGCCCGAGACTCAATGATCCTTTGTACCGCGTAAGCTCGACGAGCAATCGTGACTTGTCCACGTTCAATAGTACCTCACTCAAGCTTCTCTATTCTTTTGATTTTTGTGCAGCAGTATGTACTAATCTATCTTTTTTGTCATTTGTAGGTTTAAAGCTAACTTTCCCAGAAGTTGGATGAACCATTGTGCTTGGCTCTTCAAGCACCACTAGATGGTACTTTAGAAACCTAGAAGTTCGCTTTAAGAAAAGCTCAATTTATGGCGCATTTTTTAGTTTGGAGGGCTATTTCATCCTAATCCCATAATAGCCATGGAATCACTTAGTCACTCCCGCCTTATAATTGGTAGCGTGTAGGAATTCCGTTTTTGCCTCTATTACCAGTTAGCTTTTCTTGTGTAGTTGGCCTTAAATTTGAGTACGCAGCATATAAAGATGGCCTGAAAACCTATCATTCTCTCATTGAGCCAAATTGAAGACTAGATGGTATACTGTTATGTACCCCATAAGAAATGCTAATGGAAGATACGTAGGTTACCCTTCGACGAAACTTCGTTTTCCCTCCATTTTCACCTTTATACTCTCTCCTGGCCGATTTTCAAAGCCTCGATGGCAGTATCCATTTTACGTATCCGCACAGGCTACGAAATAGCCACCGCACTGTGACTTTCGGCACGGGCAATCGAAGAAGCAGGGTTATCCAATCAATCTGGCATTTTGCCAGGCGATCGGCTCCTTTCTCTCTCGCCCTGTGTTGAGCGCCAATCGCGCGAATCGCTACTGCCTTACAAGAATCGAACTACGCTGCTAAAGTAAAAGTTGGAAACAGCAAGGGCACAAAGTGTTCATCGAGGGGGATACATGTATCATTTGATAGTACTGCTTATTTAAAATCGGACGGTAAACGTTTCAGTCGTACAGTATGGTGCGGTAAAGGAATACAAGGTGGTGAAATTTCCAGGATATGCCCCGTGCTGATGTTCAGGCCCACAAATCAGAGTAAACGGCGTATGACGTATTTCATGGCGTATTCTCATATTCAGAGGGCTATTGCATCCTGATCTGATAAGATAGCCATGGAATTGGTAGTCAGTCCCGGACTATAATCGGTAAGGTGTAGGAATTTCGTCTATCCCTCGATCATCAGTCAGTTTTTCTTCTATTGTGTGGCCTTAATATCAGTACGCAGCATATCTTGATGACTTGAACACCTTCCATTTCCTCATCAAGCCAAACTAAAGACTAGCGGGTACACTGTTCGATACCTCATACTAAATGATTACTTCGTTTTCCTTCCATTTTCACCTTTACAGTCTTGGCTGTCCGTTTCTCCACCAGCCCTCGACAGCAGAATAGTCCACCGCGCTGGCGGCCACTGGTGCCTGCAATCGTGGAGGCACTGATTGGCTAGCGAAATTGGCATTTTGCCAGGGAGTCAGCTCCTCTCCTCCCTCACCCTGCACCCCACCGGCACTAATCAGACACATTTTTGATCATATTATCTAAACGTTGCTGCACTTAATCGGTGAAGAACGCTGAATATTACCTTCCTCTCAACTCACTGTACTTCAGCCGCCTTCACTGGCTCGCTACAGCTATTTTTTAAGCAAAATTATGAAAAGTATGGCTGTTTAACTACCGGTCGATAATCTTGACCCTTGGCATTATTCACTTACAGATGACGGGTATGAAACAAGGGCTTTTCTGAGAGTGCAATTTGTATGTATAGATCCAATCTAAGGGAATAAAAAAGTAAATGTAATCATTAAATGGGAATAATTCGAGTTAGAAGACAGAAGCTAGTTCTTAACGACTACTGCTATTCAGTCACCTTGGAAGAACTAGTTCCGCCTTCACTATGTGTCTGTTCAGTCGGAGTATCCACCGTTGTGGCTGGCCTCGGCTGATCCAACAGCANCCCCCCCCCCCCCCCCCCGTTTTCCTTTAATTTTAATCTCCAAGCCTTCCACTACTGTACCTACGCCCTAAACGGCTTTACGAAATAACCGACCGCGCTGGCGGCCATCTAGCCGGTGTGTCTGGCACATTGCCAAGCAGCTACCTCCTTCTCTTTCCGTTCCTGTACCGTGCGCCCGTCGCGAAAGATTAATTAAGCCTCCTTTCACTGTAGTGTGACGATTGATCTAAAAAGAATGTGTTTCCTGTTCACATCTTTGAAAACAACGACATAGCGGCTAGTCTTGAATAACGTCACTGTGTGCACATGGTCCCGCCATATTATGATGGAATTCCTTTTTCAGCATGGCCATAGCGCTTCATAATCGTCAATTATAGGTCGATGATGAGAAATCGTATTAAAATGTGGCTTCCTTGCTGATTGCCGGAGCCGTCGTAAATGTCCATATCGTTATTTGTCACAGGGTTCTAAAGGACAGGGATTGCCACTCCAGCACACATTGAAACGGTTGCGATTTGAGGTGAAAATTTAATATGAGCCGTATCCTCCCATAGTTGGTCAGTGCTAAGCTTCTGCGTGAAATGATGTATGATGTTTTATAATGATGTGCCCTTATGATTTATTGTAGTAGAACTGCATAGTCGGTATACACCACTTTTAGTTAACAGAGGTCTTCCCTGATAAGGACCTCAAAATCAGTAAAGCAGTTTATCACGACAAACCAGTAAAGTAGAATTAACCATTTTTGTGTGCTTGTACTTCAACGACATGCAGTAGCGCTCACAAGTAGTCGGCGAAATGCTTCTTCAGTTATAATTCTCAGTCATAACTCCTTTCCTACTAGATCTAATCAAGCGAAATTTCAATTTGTGTAGCATGGGTGTATTGTGGATATTTACCAGTACTAACCTGCAATCTGATCATGTTCCAGATATCCAAAAAGGCTTGAACAAAAAATCAATCAGAAATACGAATGGTGGTCCTTTTAGGAGTCCTTCCCTTTTTGCAATGTCTTTAGTGTACGAGCACTAATGTCGAACGCAGAAGAGAAGAAAAAGGAACATAAGGTTGGAATAACTGCAGACGTCACGAACTTGCTTTCAGCACAGTCTACAAACACCTCCCCATTAGTATGTAGATATGGCTGTATCGCAGTCAAGTAGTGTTGGACAGTGTAGAATATGCTTCAGCTGAACATAACAAAATTTCATGTGATTTGCTCCACTGGGAAAAAAGTTACGGCAAGTTAAAGTTGGCAAATACTTTTGAGCGCTACTGTATGTACATGTCTTATGATTCCTATTAAAGTGCCCTCCCTGTTTTCTGCTTGAGCCTCTCCCTACGGCGTGATGTAAGTTATGGATCTGCAGCGAGATTACTTGTCAATCAACGTTAATCTGTAATCACCATTAATCAGATTTAAGTGGCGATTTAGATTCACCATCGTACACACTACGATAATCCACTGTGGGCTATGTTGTGTTCAATATAATGTATCCGATCGCGAAAGAACCACTCAACGCACAGCTGAAAACTGTATGATACTAAGACACTGCAAACTTTTTGATGGTCCGACCAAGAACAAACCTGTCTTCCCAAAAAATCTCATGCATTGTCCTGACGGTTTTTTGTTCTCGTAAGCATCCAGAGGCCCGTATTTTTCTTCTGACTGGAAAGTTCGCGGTGATCACCCTGCTTGATTCAAATAGATCGAAGAAGTCTTTTACAGTTCCTTCGATCACAGGCTCTTCGAAAATAATACTTCATCGATTTACATAACCATTTGATCAGTTCAATTCATTCTTTCAAGCGAAATTTTGGCGCCTGATACCACCATCGCAAGCTCGGGCGCACTGCAAACCCCGATCGATATTACCTCTAGAATATATGTGCCGTCATTTTGAAAATGAAACGAAAGGAATATCGAGAATATTTATTCAAAACAGCTTAAACGTACTGCGTAGAAATCTTTCTAGATTGATGGCAGTTGATGCCTACAGTAATAATATAAATCGATGAATGAACAAAGCATTAGAAAGAAATGGACTAGATCGTTATTAACAGGTTTCCTACTTCTTTTCTCATACTGTCTATCACTGGTTTGACTAAAACACCGGTAACTACACATTGAGAAATAGAAGGCCTCATGAAGAGACTATACATGAAATGCAAACTACTACGGTCGAATTTTAATGTAATGCTCATAGCTGTGTACGATCACCTGGCTGCGATCATGAGGCAGTAAAGGAGTTATGAGAATGCTTGGAACGAGATTTTAGCCAATTTTTTGTATTCATCATAAAACTCTCAAACGGTACATCAGAATTATCCGACCTTAGCATTTGCGCTACCGAAATCTAACCCTTAAAACTAAAAAAAAAAACTTTTGAACCATATGCGGTGGATCCATTCTGTTGGAGAGCATTAAATTACCCCTCTCATTGAAGCTGAATTTTAACATAGCTATACAGGACGCTTATCCACACGCATAGAATCCAATTTTGAATTTTATCCAAGCTAGGGATTCCGTTCATTTTCCAAGGATAGCCGTTGAAACATTACTTTAATGAATAACTTCGATGTACCTAAAAACAATCTTGCCTGGGAAGCACGCGCTTTTCTCATTACTTTGAAGGCTTACGTCATTACTGCCGTAAAAAATTAGAAAAAATAGTCATCTATTGTGTTGTAAGGAATAAAATGCTATCCGACGAACACATTGCCTCATGAGTCCGCAACCACACGAAGTACACAGCTAGTAATCTGACTTTGCAAGAACGATATAGACTCTACATATTAGCGAATTAAAGAACAAAATTACGAATATTAAGATCGAGACATAGAAATCTTTCTAAGGCTTTTCAAGTAAAGCATTCAATTTAAAACCGACAATACTTTACAAAGTTTAGAAATAGTGGTAGAATCAATAAGATTAGTACAGTGGAAATTCAGAAATACAAAAGAAAAATAAAAAAAAAACAACACTGAGAAGACGAACGCGTATTCAGGGTATCTCACCCTTTTTCTGAATATATCAAGAGATATGTTAATAAAACCAATATTGATATAAAAGCTAAAATGTGTTAGAATCTGAACTTTCATACAAAGTTCAAACAAAAGGAACTCGTTGGAGCATTCAATTGAGTTAAAACGTGTGTGAGTAGCAGTAAATGATCAATGATAGATAATGATAAACATTTATAATCAAATTCATACCTGTTCACATAAATATAATTCCTCTTTCGAACACTTTTTTATCCGTTCCTGTAATGTAATGCCATCTAATAGCAATCGATCAGCCTGCCAACCCGCTAGGTGACACAATACCGTTCTTCTCCTCACGCTCGTCGCATCCTTTCATGGCACTTATCTTTTCTCTTCTTTCTTCTTCGTCTGTTTTATCCTACACCGAACTTTGACTAGAGTCCCCGGATGCTGGACCACAAAATCCGGATGAGAAGCTCGGTCGACGCGATTTTGACTTGGCGTGGACCTAAATAGTAGTGAGTTGAGGAAGTAGTAATGTAGTAGAGGATCATGCCGGTAGTTACCTTTGTGTGGCGTTTGCGTTCATCACTTCGTGCAAACTTTCGACCACATACGTCACATGAGAAGGGCTTTTCTCCAGTGTGCGTACGAACGTGCGTGGTTAAGTGATCCGATCGCGAAAACGCCCGCAAACAGATCCGACACTGAAATTTTTGTGTAAACTATACGTAGCAAAAGTCGCATTGTTACATCGTAATGTCAAATAGAATCGGCAAATTCAAACCCAAGCAAACAAGGTGAAAGATGATTGAAATTTTTTAAACGCACAGGACATTTCTATCACAAAGTTGTATGCGGGCTTTGAGATAAACCTTTTGTACTGCCGTACCTAATGAAAAACAATATTCAGAGGAACACCATGGGCTTATTACACCATGAGTAAACTCGTCTTGCAGTCGTAGACAAATGTCGCACAGAAAATGCGTATTATGCTTTGGAAAGGACAAACATTAGATGGAAAAAATAAAACTGAAGATTCGGTTCAGCAAAGCTTTCCCTTTTGAGTAATGAGGTTATTCAGTATAGAAACGATGCAACAGTGTACGATCAACACCCTTTTTCGGTTTCGGCATAATCCATTTGATGCTTTTACGAAAAGTCTACAAGTTGTATGTGATACCAGTAGAGTACAATCAAAGTTTGTTCCAAGATGGACATTCTGGGCACTGATTTCCCAAAGCAATTCACATTCAACTCAGGCTATCGACAAATTCAGAGAAGTCGATTGATGGTACCCCCTGCATGCATTCACATTTTTGTGGTTTAAATGAATTCCTCAGGTTCCACTGATTCCTCTTTACAACCACAGACAATCAATCACCTTTTCTGCTACCCTTACTCATAGACATATAGATAGCAACTGATGCCTGAAAAATAATCCCATACTTCTTTGAACTTCCGCCGTAATGTAAGGGAGCCCTTACGTCAAAAAATTTCTAGCCGACGTTTTGACTTCATGATATTTTCGCTCTTGCATTCCTGAGATAGTTTCCGTCTTAAACTGAGTCACGTTAGCAACATGACACATTTGAGGGTGGAGGGCGAGCACCTTTGCTACGCATAGTTGAATTTTCGCGAAAAAGACTATAATAGTAAAGTTGCAATTGAGATTACAATTCATGCACAGAGTAAATCTACTATTACTACTACTAGTACTGTATGCCTGACTACCATGAAAGGCGAAAGTGATTAGATGGCAAGCCCAACTATAAATATAAGAAAAACTCTTACGTCCATCAAACCAGAAGCTTGTCGTTGCCCTCATGCCCCCTTTGGGGTTTGACATTTCAGAAAGTTGAACCGTAAGTAAAAAAATCAAAATTTAAAATATAAAACAAGTTTTACAAAAAACGACATAGTTCTTTTACCTGAAACGGTTTCTGCCCAGTGTGTATTCGAATATGTCTGGTCAATTCATCACTTCGTGAAAAGCGTCGATCACAGTCATCTCGTGGACACTTGTACGGACGTTCATGTATCGGGATTTTTACATTTCGCTGCGAGTATTTCCGCATAGCATCACCTTCCATCTGAAGATTGCCATAAATGGACAGTCAGGCAAAGACAGTACTTAGAATGAATAAAAGCAGTGAAAATTTTGAAAATACTTAGCAAAACAAAAATTGTCCCACGTACCTTCACATCACCGCTGGTAGACTGATACTCGAACACATTGAATTCACCATCTGCAAATAAGGTATTTATTTGATGAACTAAGGAAAGTTACCGTTGTTATTTCTTAGACAGGATGGCATTTTTCTCCCTGATGCCACTGGTAACTTCTCAGTATTACTGCACCACAACGAAAAGAGCCAAATAATGGAAACCCCCAGCAATTCAGAACGAATTTTGTTTACTTCATTTTAATTTATGGTGATTTCTGGTGGTTCCAAATGATCCACTTCTCATTCGAAGGAATAGAGTTGCACTAATCAATAGTGTTATGCACCGAGTTCCTTCACTCCGAAGACTTTCAAAGAAGCCTTCTCGTACAGGAACAGGGCAAACTTAATCAGAGACTCTATCTAATTTAGCCCATGTCTTCAAAACCAGGAAAAACTCATTTTGTCAAAGTTCATGCAACAATGCACTCATCTTGAGAGTCGGGTTGAAAAACATCGGATATTGAGGTAAACTATTGAGAGTTGCAGTCAAGAAAAAAACAACAACCGGAACAAAAAAGAACAAGATAGTTCCAGTTACAAGACTTACTAGTAGGATCGTATCGCATGTGCTCGCCAAACCCGTACGAGTAATCATCAATTGGCTCGACTTTCGGTTCAAAACCGAATTCTTTCGCATCGCCCCTAAAACGGTTTCTATAGACGATGTCAAATTTCGCATAATATTATCCAAAAAACGACAATTTCCACTCACGTGAAAGGTTCCTCTCCGTTCGCTTCACCACTGAACTGACCACCATCGGTATAAACTGGGGCTGGTGGATGTGACTGCTGAGTATGAGGCGAACTCGTATGAACACCAGGAGCGACATCCAGTTGCTGCAAAAGGAATAAAGGAGCTAGATGGAGACTACCAAGCTCTTCACCTTTCTTTGGAATAACTCATACAAACATAGTCGCCATTGTTGACCTCGATGCCGGCGTAATTCCAGGCAGGAAAACCGTACCACACATTCATTCAGTAGTCATTCTTACGGTGCAAATTCATTCGATGTTCTCCGTTACAAAGGCGGAGCCTAATGTTTTGATTGTATAATGTGATAGTGGATCGTGCCCAATGGACAGGACGGATGCATACGAGCTGATAGTGAAAAACGAGCAAAAGTCGATTTCTCTTTGAGAATGAATTCACCTGAAACTTCACTAAAGCTGGCGGTGGCTGAAGTGGTTTGATCATCGGTGTGGTTCCATTTCGTTGTATTGATTCCACATTTTGCTGTCCACATTCCTTGTCTTCCTTTTTCATCTCGGTTGGAATACGGACTACCTGACATGCTGCTCAAATTCAATTTTGTCAAGCGCAGCAACTATTTGTAGAAAACCAACCTTTAATAAGTCTGGTGCCTCACTATTAGCTCCAGGAGTTTTGGCGTCCACAACGGTGAGTTCGGGTAGTCCACTTCCACCCTGAAACATGTAAACCGTACCGAGGGGCAATAAGTAGAGTGAGCAAACTGCAAAACAATTGGCAAAGTCGACAATCTCTAGCACAGTCCTCATTGGTGAGTCTATAGGTCCCGTATAAGCTCCGCGACAGTTCAACCAGTCAAGAAGTCTTAGGGCTAAGTTGTGACACCAACTTGCTACGCACTAAGATTGACGGTCTTTGAACAATGTACAATAGCTCAATAACAAACAGATCGTTCATGGACGAAGTTCGTGGTTAGTCACACGCTAGCCCTTTTGTATAGTTCAGATTTGTGGGTATGCTAGTCTCGAAGACTCTATTGATTTGTAATAAAGCAGCGAGATCAAAACGTTAGCCCTAAAAGACCTCATAATCTTGGAAGGACCAGTGCAGTATATAAGAAAGATATTTCATCCAATCTGTGAAAGCATTCGAAAATACTGGAAGGCATGAGAACTATAGGAGGACAACGACATGCCCTATAGAAAAGTATGACCGATGGCACGAAAATATATCGTTAACTAGTTTTAGTTTCTAAAAGAACGTGACGATTGATAAAATAGTCGATGCAAGACCGGGTTCCTCATCGCTACGACAGGGGAACTTTCCAGGAAGTAACGATCGAGAAAGTTATCGTAAAAAGAGAACATACAAATGAAAGCCAATAAGGTGGCGACAAAGCGCTAACAAAGTATAAACAAGCCGTAGTACGGAAATTTTCAATTCCAGCGATACAAAGCAAACTTGTGGAAATCCACAAAATTCCTGAAATTCATTGAATTTACCTTTGATAGGGACTGCAGGAAATGTTCGACCATTGGCGAAAATTGAAACATCGACGCAGACAAACCTGAAAACAAAAATGAATGTGAAGAAGAAAAAGATGTATCGAGGAAATCAAGCTCCAGTGGAGCTTTTGAATTGGGGATTCACCTGGAGAGCTCACACCCGACGTGAGATTGACGGGAAGATTCGTCGTTATCGATCCCTTGAACTGTATTGTTGTTTTTTCGTTTTTGTGACCAACTTCCCCATTTTGTGAAGTGGAGGCTAAAACGCATTTTTGTATTGGCTAAAATAGTTCCTATTAGGAGCACTAGAAGGCCGACAAAACCCTCTGCCCAATCTTCAGATGACCATTCATATACAGCTACCCTTCGTAACTCGACTTAACCCTACACATTTCACTGTGTATGCTACACATCCTCATACTTGTCCAGCACTATCAAATAACTTTTGATAATACATTGTAAACCTATTACACATACCTGATCCGTTGGAGTGGTTTGGAACCGCAGACGTTTGTGAAATGGATTGTATTTCAATGTTGCCTGTAAAATTAATTGTATATCAGGACCAGGTATATATTTTTGATGAAAAAGATTATCACTCCACTAATATAGACTTGAAACAGGAACATAGGGTATAATCATTGTTAACCTCTGTTAGAGTTCAATTCAGTTCATCAGTGGCATAGAGCGAAAAATAAGCAGATTGGGCCGGGCTTAAATGGTTGAAAAGGACTTCACGCTGATTGAATAGCTTTTTACAACTTTAGGTTGTTTTTGGCCGTAAAACTTTGCAAATAGTGGAAAACTCTGAGTTGTTGTTAGTTATGACTTAGTGACAAACTCAATGATTGAAAGCTTCTGCGGGGAAAAAATCTCTAGGGATTTTAAGAGGCATAGATGACCTTACTAAACGAATCAGAGATTTATCTCGCTCTTTGAAAAATGCCTTTGGGAAACGCAATGAAATTTATAATAGCATTTTCTTATAAACGGCTACTACACAAAATGGGAGTGCTGTGCAGAACTTCTAAAAAGCTGTACTGAAATAAGGCCCTCAACGAGATCTGCATGCTGTAATAGAGGATGGGGCCTCATTCTTCTGCTATCACAATATTAGAATGATGTTCATTAATTTACACAGATTTATTTCCACATACCCCTCCCGTTCCAAATCCATCTCCTTAAAATTCCATACTCCCGTATTGTGCACTCGCGATTCAATGTTAAAAAAAAACAACGGAGAACCATTCACAAATGATACCCCTCTCATTCAATATTGATTTCCATCAATTTCATTGAGGTTAACCTGGGCATTCAACAAATCTAACTATCAATCTGGGAGGAAGTGGTCTAGTGGCAGAAGGCACACCACTACGGGTCAAGGGTTCGAGTCCTTAATCGATATCCGCCAGGTCGACCGAGCCTTCACCCCCCCCCCCCCCCCCCCCNTTCGTCTGGGAGGATAAAAGTACTGAATCGCAGATGAAAAGACACACCAAGCCATGGTATGGGCCACGTATTAATTCAACAACTCCACTACAATCGAACAAAAGTCGAACGCAGGACCCATCCCAAACACGGAATTGATTACCGCCAATTATCCCTCATCTTTGAAATATCAATCTGCCTTTGATTACAAGCACTGTGAGTACTTGGCATTCCTATATCCCCTACCCCTACTAAACTAATATACATTGCTCATTTCATTTCAAAACCAGCACTCGCAGTGCTGCTGCAGACTTACTGGAAAAGCTCCCTAGTCAATTATTAAAGAGCAATGCATGTCTGTACAATGTAGCTCTTAGCAACGCCTTTGGCTTAGATTAAAGGAAAAGCATGAAAGGTCTACACGGAAAGATAATTAAATGATGTTCACAGCCACTGAGACTCAGTGGAGCGCTAATCTATTATTAACAACCGTACTCACCGGCAATTACTTCAAATTAGTCTATATCAAAATTTTAGAAAGGATTACTGATTACAGGTTTAGCTTTTTACTCTATCCTAATTAGCAACATTACATTCTTTTGAATTCAAAGTAATTTTAGCTATAATGCCATCCGTCACACCGTGAAATCGTGCTCGAACGTTATGGATACATTCTGCAGACAACAGGCTGAACACCAATGATACTGTTAATTCCTACAGCCGGGACATTTTATAGAAATTACCATGGAGTAAGAACAGCGCGAGTTAGGACGAAAAGAACGTGGAGCATTATAAAGAAAGGTGCTTCAGGTAAACAGGATGTTTCGGGTGAACAGGAAATTGAAAAGATGGCCAAAAAAGACATAAAAGGATGGGCTGAAGGGACTACTCAAGTATGGGAGTTGTTGCCTGAAAGTCCTACTAGTAACCCACTAAGCGTACAAGATGCCATACTTCTATATCCGATCTTTAGTGCGTTGGAAGAACCGGTAAGGACTAGGCCATGTTGTGTCAAAAACTAACGAAAAAAAAAACCACCAGACCTAGGTAAGTAAAACGGAAAGAAAGAATTAAATCAATAAGTGGTTCAGCATTTGGGAAAAAGAAATAGGCTTTTAGATTATCACCAAGTGGAATGAAGATTCTTAATCGATTTCACTTAGGAAATGAATAACAACGAAGGATTTTTTTTTNNNTTTTTTTTTGAATTCACGTACCCGTTAGCAGAGGTTCATGGTCGCCGAAAAACGCCTGGTTATTCTGCGGTGTAAACCCGTTGAAATGATGGATTCGAGGCGTTCCATCGATAGTGAGCGGCGCAGATTTCGTTGGCGATCCAAGTATAGTAGGAGTCTATAATGCAAATTGTAGCTGTATAAAAACAATAATAATCGTTACAAATCCTTCTGGGAATAAGTAAGCATTTTGGAAGGTACACTTTTATCACAACTTTGCTCAACATCGATTTGATGAAAGACCTTCAATGAGACATGCGCTTTCCTTCATACCCTCAACAATGCCCTCAAAGGATTTCTACCAAAATGGTTCTGCCTTCGAAGTGGCCGAAACCAGCAGGTTTTAAGGGAGCGACAAAGATAGATACGATTACACCCCATTCAACTCAGTCAGTCTCTTGAAAATGAAAGTGTCAAATTGAAAATTTCAAATCCATACATTGATACAGTTAAGTTGAGGTAACTGAACTACGAAAGGACTAACCCTGAAGGAGCGAAATACCGAAAATTCTGATTACAAACTCGAGTGTGAGTCTTGTATAAAAGTGGGCATCAGTTGCGCAGACACATAAACGAGTGCTTAATAGACACTCAATGAACGAGAGATCGAAGGGCCTCACGAATGGTTATAAAGTTTATCGCAAACTGAAAGGATCCGAATTTCTAGCACAGCGCATTTCTGTTCAATCAGAAAAAAAAGTTCCAGAGATCTGTCAAGTCGTACTATTGCCATCCTAAGCACTGTTTAGTATTACCTAGTGACAAAGTTTGAAATGATCCGAACTTGTTGCAATAATTTCACCAAATTTCGCTATCCGGTATGCGTTACCCGAAGAAATGTAATACTCTACTTATGTATAATGCATGACAAGTAGTCACGGATCGGGCAAAACAGATTCTTCGTATTACCGTAATCTCAAGCTTATTTCGATTTTTCATTATGTTAAAAG